AGCTCCAAAACTCATGGCTAATGATGTTTTCGGGCCACTCGTCTTCTAGTTATGGATACTTTCAGCTACGGGGTTCAGGGTGTAGGACTGTGGAGGAGCTGTGGAACTTGGATTCAGTAGCTTTTAAGTAGCGCGTCACAAATAGGATGACGTATACGATCGACCTGAAGACAGAGCGAGGGTTGGAACAGCCCTCAATGGCCAAACTAAATACCCCTAAGTGCAAATCCGCCGACATCTTCTGTCTTTCACTCTATAGCGCCTGAATCAGCCGCAACATGACTTCTTGCTACATGTGTCGGAATTAAGGTGAGTGCATATGTATCTATATTCATATATTCATATATATATATATGTGATCACAGTTCCTTAAATCTCATAGTCCGTAAGGTCTATGCTATCATGCCCTTAAAGCCCTCCTTTCAGCACATCTCCTACTGCTCCGCCGAGGCGCAGCAGGAGCAGAGTACTCGCTTGGAGGCCCTCAGCCAGGCGACCGCTTGCGCCCGTGGTCTGAGGGTTTGGGGTTTAGGGTTAGGGGTTTAGGGGTTTAGGGTTTAGGGGTTTAGGGGTTTAGGGGTTTAGGGGTTTAGGGTTTAGGGTTTGGGGTTTAGGGCTTCGGGTTTACGGTTTTGGGGATTCCAAGACCCCTTCGACAGCCCAAAAAGGTAGTACCTATGCCAAGAGGCCCTAATATAGGGGCCTAGATAATTACCTATACTATTTTGGGGGTTCCTTATTATAATTATAGTATCATGGGCCCCAAAACCCTATTCTAATTATTTCTCAACCTTGACAACCCCAAAGGGCAGAAAGCCTGTCAGGCGCCATGCAGGGAATTCGGAGGGTTTTGGCATCTTACGGCAGAAGCATGGCACTATCTGGGGGGCATTATTGCTAAGTGCTCCTAGACAAAAACGTGGATAAAACCTTTATAGAAAAAATAAACTCTACAAACCCTCCTAAACCCTACATGCCCTATAAAAACCGCTTCCCCTGCAAACCCCTTTCTCCCCCTAAACCCAAAAACCCAAAATCCCTTTCTCCCACCTTTGCCTGCAGGCCCTGGGCTTCTCAAGGGCACTGATGGCCCAATCCATTGCTCAGCGCGTGGAGGCAGTCAGATCTGCTCTGGTTTAGAAGGGTTCATATACCGGCGACTGTAAGGTTTCAAGAGGTTCTAAAGAAGTTCTGTCAACGGCTTAGGATTTAGGATTGGGTTTTCGGGTTTCCGGGTTTGGGTTTACCAGGAATTAGGCCGGAGCTTGGCGCCCTGGAGCATCCAATGCAAAGCGAACGTGCTTCGTACTACCAGGTGCGATCCGAAGTCTACAGGATGCTCCAGGTGCACTGAACTAGACAGCTTAACTAGTCAAATTTCATCCTCCCCCCAGCAGAATCACATAAAGTTGAGAAAGGGACACACCATCAAGCCCAAATCTCACACAGCCAGACACAGACTCCATGAAAATTACACAGATCTTCTACATGTATTAGCCGTAGCAAAGGCATCATCGTGAATCCTCTATCAGTGTACAACCGGCGATCTGGAAACAGTAGAAATTCTGTACTTCATCCGCTGTGAATCCCACCTGCAGGCACTGGAAGAGCGCATGGGAATGGAGCGCAAGGAGCTGTATGTTTGGACCTTGTGGGTTCGATGGCACTGTGCAAAGCGCTTCAACGAACCCCTGCTTCTTCCTGAGGGCTCTAAGCGTATGAATCCCAGTGTCTTGGATAATTATGTGGAACCAGGGCTTCTTAAATGGGTTCTTACGCTAGCCTTGATTGGTGATTGTGCATCCTTGCCGTTGGGATTTCGGTGTTATTATCACACCTTGAGGTGCCAGAGCAACAGGTGTTGCAACAGGCTCCTGCACGACTTGGACCCTGAAGCCCAAACCTGAACCATATGTGAGAGATGTCGGGCAGTGGCTTTGACGCCGCCGCTTGCCTCTTGCCCAGAGCATCACAGCGAAACAGTTGGCACGGCATGCGCCTGGTTCCTGTAGCCACACAGTTCCTGGACATATGCATGGGTGCGCTCTCTATCCTTTGTTCGTGTGTTCTCTCACTGGGCTTGAACTTTATAATTAGGTTTTAAGCAGGTTTTAGACGGTTCTGCTTCTCTTATCTTTATGTGTCAAGGGAGCTGCCAGGGCAAGCCTGAACATGCAGGCTAGCATCTAGTCTGCAGCCTGCACTAGGTGTGTAGAAGCACAAGGCTTGATTGTTACTTTTGCCGTGCTTTCCAGGTTTCTTTCAGAACGTCATACATGGCCTTAGATCTTTCTCGGGACTTTCCGAGGCCCGACATTCCCGCCTGCGTGACGAAGTGACCACGGAGGGCCAGGTGCGAGAGTGCTTAGAAAGTCCAGGGCTCAGGGTTCAAGGCTTTAGGGTTCGTGTAAAGTGAGGTTTAGGTTTTTTGCAGATTTGAAATAACACGTTTTTCCCAGCCGGCACCCTCAGCCCTGAATTTCGAAAGGAGTTTTGATTCGAGTACTTGTACTCTGCCCCCTTTTTATATCGAAGCCTCAGCAGTTGCTAATCTAACATCTTTCATGATACGGCCTCTGCGCAAGAGCTGTCATCTCGATTCTTCGGGGGAGTCTCCAGCACTTGAGCATAACGGCTGATCACCAATGGTGGCTTCGACAGAAATACTGCCTTGTTGATCAGAATATGCATTGAGACTGAATGTACGAATTTGCCACGGTCGCAGAAGTATAGACAGGCTTTCGGGGCCACAGCGGTAGTGGTGACGATGATAGCAATAAGGGCAATCGTGTAGTGTCGTTTTTGGTTCATCGTCACCATCAAAGAATCGTTCAGAACTTTTGCCGCCACCACCACCACCACCATCATCGTCCTCATCACCACCATCATCTTCCTCACCAATCGAAATCATGGCCATAGTCGTCATAGTCATCTGCATTGTTGTCATGATGATGATGATGATGATGATGATGATCATGATGATGGTCATGATGATGATCGCCACGGCTACAGCGAATAACAGGATCTTGAAAACACCTTGAAGATCAGTACACCTTAAGCAGGTATATCCAGCTACTCAGCATTCTAAAACATCGCAAAACCGGCGTGTTAACGATCCATATGAGACCCGCCCTCAACAAGAGTCTTAAACAAACCCCTGAACATGTCCCAGAAAGTCATTCTAAAGATCACCTGCTGCACAGGAGGGGAGCCTCCGCCTGCAGGAGGTGTCAAGCAGGCCGGACACTAAACCCAAAAGAGCCCTATGACTTCTTACTTCAAAGCGCCCAAACCCATAGGGGCACAGGGATCGCCCTAGACTAAGCATAGTTAGGCCGTTTGAACCTTTAAAACCGATACGGGTAGCTTCAAGCCCTAAACAGGCCCTTAGGGAGATAGCCTTAAGCCCATAACAGTCCTACATCCAATGGAGATTGGGGTTTTGGTGGTTTTTGGTTTAGCAGCCTCTCCATAGAAGGTTGAGGGTTTTAGTGTTCCAGGACCCTTACAAGACACCCTTGAGTGTTTAGGGTTTTAGGGACGGATTTTCGGGACCCTGAATGCAGAGTTTCTCAGGGCCTTTAGGTGCTATGTATAAATAAACCCTGGACTGGAGGGTGGAGTGCCTGTGGGTTGGGCGAGCCCAAATCCAAACCTCTAAACCTTCACTCGGAAGGGTTTTGAGTTTAGATTTCAGGGGTTTCTCCTTGAAGGTTCCACTCCGCGGTCGAATCGCTGGAGAGGCGCTGCCAGACATTGGAGGCAGCAAAACGCTTAGTGCTCTTTTTCGTGGTAAGGTCCATGGGAGGTGCCACAAAGGGTTCGCTGAAGGGTTTTATATATCAGCTTTAGGGCTAAACTTTTCCCTGACTCCAACAATTCGAAAACCCGAACAAATCTTATAAGCCTTAAACACTCAAAGACTATGCGGGCACCTTTTTGTTTGCTCTTAGGCGTCCAAGTACATACACAGAGAATACCTCGGCCTTCAAGTATGGGAGCCCCTTTGCTGCCCAAGTGCAGACTACATGGGTATGCTCCTTTGAAGCCCTGTACTACGTCCTCATCAAACTCAGTAAACCCCAGTACAGCCCTAATAAAGAAAACCCCGTGAAGAAGCACAACAAGCCTTGAAAGGAATCCTTAAGAAAGGGGTCTATAGGGGCCCTTAGGGATCTCCCTAATGCAGAGCACTGAGGCCAAAGAGGAGATCCAGCTTCGGCTGGCGGAGATGCAGCCACCCTGGCGGGCTTTTTAAAGATCGTAAGGCAAGGGATCGCACAAGGGTTGAGTTACTGTAAGAGCTTACAACCTGCTTTGTTTGTGGCTTTGTTTGGGTCCACTTTCAGGCCGGGAGAACCACACCCCAAACCCCGTAGCAAAAGACTTGACTAGAACCCTGAACGCAGAACCCCACCGATAGCTTTTAGGTATCCCTGGAAGGGCACTGAGTAGCCTGAGCCAATGCCAGGAAGTCCGGTCGAGGCGATGTCGACACCTTGAAGGGGGCCTTGATGTCCACCACGCGGAAATCACAGGAGCTGTCTTTTGGAATTAGTGCTTATGTAGGGCTTCGGGGTTGTATTTGTTCAGGGTTTCGGGCTTCTCCGATCCACAAGTTATCAAGTTCTTTTTGGCTGTCGTCCCATGCCCTTTTACTGTGAATCCCAAGCTCTAAAAAACCCAACTCTCATCGAAACACAAAGGTCCGCGACCCTGAACGAAGTCATGTACCCTGAACCCACCCCACCGCCTCCAAGCTCAAACCCGAAATCCCGAAGCTTCAGCCCTAAACCCCTTGTGCAAAATGCCAAGAGATCCTTTAAGGACCCTGCAACACTTTTCAGCACCACCCAAAATACATTGCATCCTATGGAGCCCCTAAGAAAAGCTAGCACAACCAAAACAACCCTCAAACCGTAAACATACCTGAGCCCTCAGATCGAGGGCAAAAAAGCCTAAACATTTCTGAAAGGCGAACTGCAGCCAAAATGCTTAAAAGCAGCTAAACCCCTTACAAAACCCTTACAGAACTCCAATTGAACCCTTATGGCTTCTGTTTAACAATTCCTAAGAGTGAAGAAGTTTTGTGTTTAAGGGGGTTCAACCAGAGTTTCACTTACAGGGCCTCATGTGCTTCTTTGAAGTTGGGTTACCTGGTTAGGGACCATTCTGGCGGGGATCCGATTTTCTATGCACCTCCATCAGCGGTTCCTGCATTGTCCTGCATTCTGAAACTTGGGGATGTTCGTTTGGGGTTTTGCAGCTTCAGGTGCCGCAGATCGGGACAGTAGCACACCGAAGTTGGAAGAAGCTCACATCAATTTCTGGACCTGCAGCATTTGCCCGAGATTCCCCAGCGTGCCCTCTGTGTTAGGGTTTGGGGTGACCGTGTTTTTGCTACAGGCGTGCCGCGCGGCACAAGTCAGT